GTCGGCCGCTTAACCGACTGAGCCACCCAGGCGCCCCTAGACCATGTAGATTTAAAGTAATTATTGATAGGTGTGTACTTACTTGCATTTTGTTCATTGTTTCCTGTTGGTTTTTGTGAGTTTCCAGTTATTGATAAACTGCATAGCACTGCTAAACAGGTTTTTGTTGGATCTACGTCTTCATTTCTCTTTCCCACCTCCAAGTTTCTCCAGTACGTATCTTCTAGTGTTCCTATAACGAACTAGTGTTTTTTATGTACTAAAAACCACAACTGAAAAAGCCAACAATGATATATCACACTTGCTGCCTTTCAAGCCAGCAAGGATTTTTTTTTTTTTTTAAATAACTGGAAATCTGTACCTCTTAATTCCATTCACCGGTTTTAACTGTCCCTTCCTTCCTGTCCCTCCCCTCTGGCAACTACCAGTTTGTTTCGGTTTATGAGGATGTTTCTGGTTTTTTACTCATTTGCTTTGGTTTTCAGATTTTGCATGTAAGGGAAAGAATATGGTACTTCTCTCTCTGACTTATTTCGCTTAGTATAATACTCTCTAGGTCTATCCATGTTGCCACAAATGAAAAGCTCTCATTTTTTTAGGGTTAATATTCCCTTGTGTGTATATAGAACAAATATATATACATGCATATACATACATATACCACATTTTCTTTATCCATTAATCTATCAGTGAATACTCGTGTTGCTTCCATAATTTGGCTATTGTAAATAATGCTTCAGTAAACACGGGAATATCCATACCTTTTTGAATTAGTGTTTTTGTTTTCTTTGGGTAAATACTCAGTAATGGAATTACCGGATCATATGGTATTTCTACTTTTACTCTTTTGAGTAACGTCCATACTGTTTTCCACAGTGGTTGCACCAGTTGGCATTCCCACCAACAAGGAATGGGTTCCTCATCACATCTTCAGCAACACTTACTTCTTGTCTATTTGACGCTAGCCATTTCTGACAGGTGTAAGGTGGTATCTCCCGGTGGTTTTGATTTATACTCCCATGATGATTATTGATTTCATGTATCTGTTGGCCATCTGTATACTTGCTTCAGAAAAATGTCTACTTAGGGGCGCCTGGGTGGCTTTGTTGGTTAAGCATCCAACTCTTGATTTCTGCTCAGGTCATGATCTCATGGTTCGTGAGTCCAAGCCCTGCATTGGGCTCGGCGCTGACAGTGCAGAGCCTGCTTGGGATTCTCTTTCCCTCTCTCCCTGCCTCTCTCACTCATGTGCTCCCTCTCTCTCAAAATAAATAAACTTTACAGGCTTTTTTTAAATCTTATTTTTAAAGAAAAATGTCTATTCAGGTTCCCTGCCCATGTTTTAATCAGATTATTTGGGGGATTTTGGTGTTGAGCGTGTAAGTTCTTTATATATTTTGGGTATTAAGGGCACCTGGGTGACTCAGTTAAGCATCCGGCTTGGGCTCAGGTCATGATCTCATGGTTTGTGAGTTTGAGCCCCACATTGGGCTCTCTGCTATCAGTGAAGAGCCCACTTCTGATCCTCTGTCTTCCTCTCTCTCTGCCCCTTCCCTGCTCTGCCTTTCAAAAATAAATGTTAAAAAATTTTTAATATATTTTGGGTATTAACCCCTTCTCAGATCTATCATTTGCAAGTATTTTCTCTCTTTCAGTAAGTTGTGTTTTTCATTTTACTAATGGTTTCCTTTGTGTGTACAAGCTTTTTATTTTGGTATGGTCCCAGTAGTTTATTTTTGCTTCTGTTTCCCTTGCCTGAGGAGACCCATCCATAAATACGTTGCTAAGACTGATGTCCAAGAGATGATTGCAGACCAGCAAGGAGTTTTAAGGCAGCCATACTCAGCTTTGTTGAGGGTACGATGCATCATCCATACAGCCTTTCCAGAGGACAGTTTGGCACAATGAAGCAAGAAACTTGATACGTGTGTACCTTTGGGCGGGTAATGTCACTTCTAGGAATTCATGCATTCATTCAGCAGGTGTTTGTTGACCTACCCAATGTACTGAGCCCCAAGCAGGGTGCCAGGAAGCTGGTGGTGAGTGAGACAGATGTAGTCCTCACGCCCAAAGAACTCTCAGCAGGGGAAGGACAGTTCTCACTCAAGTGTCTATGCAGGGACAGGGTGAGCAGTTCTGCAAAGGAACTCCTGTCCTGGGTTGTGAGCACCAGCCCTGTGCTGAGCAGCTGTGTGGCCTGGCAAGTCCCTCTACCTCTCTGAGCCTGATGAAAGCAGTCCTTCTGTATCAAAGTCTAGGTATTAGTTCCTTATAAAGGAACTGGCTCCTACGCCAGGCTTCACTCTCCCTACAGAAAGCACTGTTGTAACTTCCTCAAAGCTCCAGTGAGGCAGAGGCAATGGTTGTATAATCTGGGAATAGACTATTATGTTGTATACTATATATAGCACCTGTATAATTATATACTATACTTCACATACTTTAGAAAGATGATATTCATAGTATGTGAATTATATCTTGATAAATCTGCTATTTAAACTAACAAGGGACCAATGCTGCTAAAAATGTTTTTTTTTCTGGTGGGAAATGTAAGCTTTATGAACATTAGACTTCCAGAAACCAGGAAAAACCTCTAGGGGAGAAGGGGACTCTGTGGTTAACTTCCGAAATGGGCGTGGGGACAGAAGTCTAGGTGACAAAGGAACCGCTTGCTTCTCCTCCCACTGCAGATGACCACTAACCTTGGCCACAAAGTAGTGCTGGGGTGTCCCATGGTTAGTATGAATGGGGGGCCCAGGGATGTCTCTCCAGAACAAAAGGCTTTTCCAAGCCCTGCTGGCTCTGTCTGTCCCCTTAGCTTCTCCCCACCCTCTGCCCATTTGTTGGTTCTAATTCCAGATACCTGAAGCCAGATGTGGACAAGAAATCCAAACACAAGACGGCAGTAAAGAAGAAGACCCTGAATCCCGAGTTCAACGAGGTATGAGGGGCTGGTGAAGCTGCTGGGAAGCTGCTTGCTCTCCCTCAGGTCAGGGTTTGCTGGAGAGACTGGCTTTTCCAAGGGTTACTGTGGAAACTGAGGGGTGGGGAGGGGCCAACAGGAGAGCCCCTAACCATGAGAGGTGGGGGAGAGGCAAGGCCAGGCTGGACCAGGCCAAAGTGGTGCAGGTGGAGATGCAAGGAATCCCGGAAAGCTCTTCAGAGGATCCAGCTGATTGGGACTGTGGCCATGAGGATGTGGCGGTGGAAGGGGGGGACCCGACAACAAGAGGGGAGGTACAAGCGAGATGGAGAAAGCTCTGGTGGGTGTGAGGATTTGAGATGTCCCAGGGCCTTGAGAAGGTCTGCTCCGGGTGGATCCCAAGGTCTTCAGCTCGGGGGGCAGGGGCACATGGAGAGGAGCAGAGGGGCCTAGGGAAGAGCCCGCGTGACTGAGGGGCAGGCAGAGGAGACCAAGGAGATGCTTTCAGAGAGTGAAAGGGATACCAGATGTCAGATGATCCCGGAAGCTGTGGGGGAGAAACTTTCACAAGGCAGGGAGTGGTCAACAGAGCCAGACCCAAGAGTGGTCAAGCATGCTAAGGTTGCCAAGTGTGTGTTGATTTGGTGATAATGAGGCTCCTGGGGATCTGGAGAGAGCAGCTTCAGTGACAGAGGAACCAGGCAGGTTGGAGAGCAGGGGACCTTGAGGACCCCAGCCAGGTTCTCAGGCAGAAGTGGGTGGAATAGGTGAGGATCTGCCACCATCTACCACTGAGCACTGATCACCCTCCCATCCACCCCTCCCCCTCTCCCTTCCTTTCTCCCTCCATTCATTCGCCCCTCACCGCACCCCCAGAGCCTTCCTGGCCACTGGCCAGGTTCCAGACCCCGTGGTGTTGGCCCTGACTCTCTTCTTCTGACCACCAGGAATTCTGTTACGAGATTAAGCATGGGGACCTGGCGAAGAAGACCCTGGAAGTCACTGTTTGGGATTATGACATTGGAAAATCCAACGATTTCATTGGTAAGAGGACACAATGAGAATGTCCTTTAGCCACATGCCTGTTCTGGGTTCGCAGAGGACAGCGACCCTGAATCCAGGCCACAGCCTCTGCTTCCTAGCCTCTATGGCCCCGGCTTTCCCCAGACTATCTGGCCCCAGGCACAAGGGGCCTCAGACTTTATCCAGCCTGACTCCATGTGACAGAGGAATAGATAGGCCCAGAGAGGGGAAAGGGGTCTGGGAGGGTCACACACCAGCCTGTGTGGAGCAGTGGTGAGAGGTGAAGATGGTCAGTGCTTTGGGCTGGACTCGGAGCCCTCGGGGCCCTGAATTCCTGGTGGGCGTCGGCATCCGCGTCGTGGCTGTGCATAGTGGAGCTGCCTCCATCCCTCGGCTCCTAAGACGTGACCACACCTTACCCCCAGCACTGCTCTGGCCCTAGAGAGGGGAAGGACAGGATCCCAGGGCTCTGGTTTCGCAGAGGGGATGGGGGTCAGGCTAAGAGTGTGGTGTGGTAGTCAAACCACTGCTCACCCTCAGAGCCCAGTGGGCAGGGTGGAGGGTCCAGCCCTGGAGGGGGTGGTTTTGGGGTGGGGGGCACTGGTTCAAGAAGGTTAGTCTTATGGGAACCCCTGCCCCCAGGCCCTTGGGAGTCAGAAGGTCACCATGTCCCTCGCTACTCCTTCGGTTCCCTTCTTGCAGGAGGCGTGGTTCTGGGCATCAATGCTAAGGGCGAGCGCCTGAAGCACTGGTTCGACTGCCTGAAGAACAAGGACAAGAGGATCGAGCGCTGGCACACGCTCACCAATGAACTCCCAGGGGCTGTGCTCAGCGACTGACCAGCCCCCACCTGCTGCCGCACCCGCCCCTGCCTGTCACCTGGCCCAGCACCAGCCTGGCCCTGGGCTTCCTCAGCTGCCACCAAGGGCCTTGGCCCTCATCTTGGGGGAGATCCAGGATGCTGCTCAGACACAGAGCCACTGCAGCTCCCGCTTGGAGGCTGTGGAGGACCTAGCCACTCCAAGGGAGAGCAAGGCCAGAAAGCTGGGCCTGCTTCCAGCCCCCTGGGGCCCAAGAGGGCAGGAGATGGGAGAGAACCTTGGCCTCAGCACCCACCCCAGGGAAGGGAAGGGGGCCGTCCAGGGGCTGAGGACCCTATTTGAGGTCAGTAGTAAGTCACGGGGACCCCAGGTGGAGAGAACAGGAGTGCAGGGGCACCTTGGCCTTGGTGGGGCCAGGGAGAACTCCTGAGGGACATTAGGGAGAAAGGGGCATGAAGGGAAGAGTTGGAAAAGTTTATTCCCAAAAGGAGGCTCTTACTGCAACCGTTCGTCTCTGGCATTACTGGGCAGATGGAGAAAAGCTGACCTGAGAGCAAGAATGGTCAAGTTCCTACAAGCTCACTGAACATGGGCAATTGGCAAGCACTTCAATGATTCCACGAGCCGCTGGAGAAGAATGAGAACCAGGGCCTACCCTCAGAGTTCCTGGTCTAATCAGGGAGCTAGAAACCATTACAACAGGGAGTGAGGAATGCCAAGGCCAGGTTGACATAACTGGTGAGTGCCATGGATTCTGACTCGGCTGGGAGGGCTTCCTGGAGGAGGTGATGCCTCAGCAAGGCCTTGAAGGATGAATGGGTTTCTAGGCAGATAGAGGAAAGGCACTGTGTGCAGTGGAAATGATCTACAAAGGCCTGGAGGGGAGAGTATGGTGATTGGGTCAAGGATCACTGTGCAAGATGTGGGGTCTCACTCTGGAGACAGGGTTTGTTAGGACAGGCATGGGGGTAGGGGTGATGTCACCCAGCCCTGCTCTCACCCCATCCCTTCCTGCCAGGCTTACCCCAGTTCATAGGAGGGAAGTGATGGGTCAGGGTCAAGTTCAGTCCTCAGACCCAGTTCTCCTACCTTTAATCTTTCTCCTCCCTAAGAACCTGGAGGATGGATCCAGCCTCTCATTACCAGCTTAAGCATAAGGCCAGCTCTAGTCCCGAAGAGTCCCTCTTCCCTTTTTCACGAAGCAAAAAGTCTCCATCCTCACCCTCTTCCTTCACCCACCCCCCACTTCTGAGTTCAGGGCTAGGAAGTGAGAGGCCCAGATGAGTGCCCTACATCCTGGCCCTACTGTGGCCACTGATGTTCCTTTCAGAGTGCTGGGTGGCAGTCCAGGGCCTCATTTCTGGGAAGACCTGTGAGGCTGGCTCCTCTCCCTCCAAGGGCTGAGACACCCTGCTTGGTGGGCCTTGCACGCTGAGTCAGGTTGAGGGCATTGGAATCTTGGGGCCCAGGTATGAAGCCCCAAACTTTTCCTGCCTACCCAGGGGCCTTCAAGGCTGCTGTATGAACTAGTGCAAAACCAGGGAATTTCTGTGTTTGTCCCATCACTGCGCTGATGGATAAAACAGAGGCCCAGAGAGGGAAAGTGACCTGCCTGAGGCCTTCCTGCCCTACCACAGCTGGCAAAGGCCGGGCTTCATGGCCCCTGCCTCACCACCAGCCCAGAGCTATGGACACAATGGAAGTAGGGTGCTGGACTCCTACACAAGAGGTCCATCCTGTAAGCTGCCTGCCTAGGGCTCACTCTTGCCTGCTGCAGACACAAAGCACATCACCATCTGAGGCCTGAGGTGATGATTCGAATTCCACCAAGTGCCCATCAGCCCTTTCCCACTTTGCAGGTTGAACAGGATTCCAGCCCCCAAACGGTAGCTGGGAAACTTTTGCTGGTCACGGAGCCTTGGTTTTCCTGTCTTTAAGGTAGCTTTGTGTATGTTAAGAGTTTTACGTGCACTTTCGCAATGAATCCTCACAATTCTATGGGGTGGGTTTGTCGTCCTCATTTGACAGACGAAGAAGCTGAGATTCAGAGAGGCTGTGTAGTCTGTCAGTGGCACACAGCTGGGAAAGGGCAAACCAGGACTCAGCCCAGGTCCTGTGACTGCCACATGGTCTGGTTGTCTGGGAGATCGTACTCTCTGGGCCTCTGCCTCCGGGCTTCTGGAGGGTTCAGCAGATAGCAGACTCGGTAGGGTCTGGTGCATGGTGAAGGGGTAGGACCACGGCAGTCCTGCTGCCTCAGCTGCTAGATAGCTTTGAAATCACTTCTGCCATTCAGAGCTTCCCCAGAGGTCCCCACAGTCCAGGCCGAGAGCTCAGCTATCCATCCCTCCCTGGGCTCTGAGTCCATGGGCCAGGCCGTGCTCCTCACAGGGGCTCAGGCAAGGGTTCCTCTTTTAACCACAAGGCTGGCGTGGGGGAACCTTTGGGGAGCAAAGAGATGGCCTATTTTGGAGAGGCCTCCTGTCTGGGTGAGCCCTGGGTATCTTAGCTTTTTCTTAGCTTTGCCTCTTGGAGGGCCTCATTCAGAAAAGAACCCCACAGACTTTCTGTGAAGATACTGAACTGAATGGCAAGGCTAGAAGGGGCTGGGAGTCTCAACAACTACCTTATTAGACAGTGGGAAAACAGAGGCCCAGTAAATGCGAGGAGCCCACTTGGGGCTCTTTACTGCCCCAGGCTGTACAAGGGTAGACTTGGTCCTGAAAGATGGTCCCTCGTGACCAGGGACAGTCAGGATAAAAGATGGATCTTCTGGACAGACAGCCCCAGTGGAGGGTGGGGTGCTTAGGAAGGAGCCCCCCCCCCCCCCCCCCCCCCGCGCTTACCCCCAGGGAGGAGGGAATCTTCACCAGGACCCTGGCACTGCTCTGGACCCCTCGCAGATTGTATCTGCTGAAGAAAAAGCTCTTTGGGAAGCTGCAGTATCATCTCTGCCTTTGGCCCCAAACTGGCATCTTTCCTCTGGTCTAAGACTGGAAAGTTGACGCCCCTCCCTACCAACCACCACCACAAAGTCATTCCAAAGTTTGGTGTCAGTAACCAGGAAGTCGCCCGACAGCACGCTGCATCCTCCTCCACCCCCACCTCCCACCGCCACCACTAGCCAATCAATCCCAGACGGGGCCCGTCTTCCAACCCTGAAGCGGTAACCTCCTGACCCCTAGCGGCAAGAGCGAGGAACTGCACCTCCCGGCCCGTGCATGTCCTGTTTGTTTCTTCTCAAACCGAGAGAACCTCCCGATGCATGGACTCTGGCTGTCGTCGACGCAGACTCTCGTGCACTGCTTAACACCGTTTTGCTACCATGTGGTGGCTGCAGAAAAGGTCCTTAAACTGCAGCCCCACACACAATTTTTGTACTTTCGTCTGACCTGGAAGGTGTCCTTTTTAAGTCTTATTTGTTAATATTTATAACGACCTATAATCCAAAGTAAATGAAAACGTTCACTGCAATTCAATTGGCTTGGGAGACTCTTTAAATAGAGTTGATAGGACCGGAAAGAATGAGAGAATGGCAACTGAGGCTCATTCAGCACATTGTCTCCTTTAACTCTTCACAAAGAACTCATGAGAGGTAGGTCTCCAGTTACAGACGGGAAAACTAAGGCTCAGGTTAAAATGTGCTGAATCACACAGCTTGTAAGTGACACAACTAGGATTCATCTCATGCCTCCCAAGACTTTACGCTGTCATCCACTCATTCGACAAACAGTTGTGAAGTATTAACTCCACCACCAGGCACTGGTGGGTCAGATTCATCATCAAGACAGCCAACAAACAGTAAACATAGCATGTTCAAAGATGACAATAGGGGCATCTGGCTGGCTCGGTCGCTGGAGCACACAACTCGATCTCAGGCTCATGAGTTTGAGCCCCACAGTGAGAGTACAGATTAGTTTTTTTTAATGACAAAAAGGACATAAAAGGAGTAAGGTGGGATGGGAGGGAGAGGTTGGGCTTAAATAAGGTGAGGTGGCCCTCCAAAGGTGACTTTTGAGCTAAAATTTGGAGGGGGCTGAGGGAGGGAACTATGGAGATACTCAAAATGGGATGAGGGTTTTTTTTTTTTTTTTAAAGATTTAAGTGATCTCCACACCCAAAGTCGGGCTTGACCTCACAACCCCAAGATCGAGTCTCCCGCTTCACCAACAGAGCCAGGCAGGTGGCACCAGGAATGGAATGTTTTGGGTGGAGGAAGTGGCCAGTATCCCTCGGGGTGGGGGCAGGTGTGGCATGAATGAGAATAGCAAGGAGACCAATAGGGCCAGAGCAGGGTGGGGCAAGGGAAGGGCAGTAAATGGGAGCACAGGACAGGGGACCAAATAGGACAGAAAAACTGTGTGTGAGATGGGAGCTTATTTCATTTCTAACAGGCCACCTACTCAGGACAAACCTACAGTCTCTCCTTCTAGATACTCCACAATGAAGGTAGCAAACCCCACACAAACCCTCGGCACAAAGGAAGATAATCGGTCATGGGAGGAAAGACCATTAGTTCTTGTGCTACTTCAGCAGGAGGGGAATCCTTAAGAACTCTAGGAAAATAATAGGGACCAGAGAGAAGGTGCCAGAACTATAATGGCAGCAGCAATAATACCCATATTATTACTCTCACTTTGTGAGAGCTCTCACAAAGTGTTGTACTCATTTAATCCTCATAATTATGCAACTGTTTCCTCATTTTATAGATGGGAAAACTGGGGAACAAAGGATAAAGGGTAGAGCTGGGATTTGGACCCAAGCCTTATGGCTCCAGAATCCATACTCCTAATCTCTACACTATGCTGCTGTAAGCAGCAAATGGTGTTGCCAGGCCTGGTGGAAGATGCCCAGGTCCCACTAGGTTTCTTGTAGGTTCAGCCTTATTCACGCCCACCCCAGCAGGGTTCTGCTCTGCTGGGAAAGATTTTCTAGGGCTCACTCTCAGGGTCCTGTCATCTTGACCAAATGCAATGCTCACCTTTGCCCAATGGGTTCCTGTCATAGGCCCCCAATTC